TTTTTTTTTATTTTAACTTATCGTTGTTCTTTATTTTGAATTGATATTTAGTATTGAAAAAAAAACTTATTTATTGTTCTTTTCTACAAAATTATATTATCGTTTTGTGAAAAATGCATTACCTTAACATATTCTTATCAATTGCTCAATCATTCTGTTTCCATTTTCATTTCATCTGAATCGTCACCATCCTCATCATCTTCTTCTTCAAGAGTAGGTTCATAAATACTCTTTCTCAACTTAACTATTTCATTGCTAAATCATAAAAACATGTTAAACAAACTCAGACCAAAACACCAAACGGAAAATCTAAAATATTGTTATCAATAAATTCAGAAACTTTCATTAAATATTCGTCAACTCTATGATTTAATTGTTTGAGCTCTTCAATTTCCTTTTTTAGTTGTTCATCACTTTCCATCGTCATTAAGTCTTATTTGTTAGTATTATTCTCTATAAAACTAAGACTTAAAGTTATTATAATTTATTATTAAAAATTTATCTTTATAACTTTTTTCCTAAACCCATACTATTTAAACCCATCTTTTTATCTTTTCTTTATTATTCCGAAGTCTTAAGATCTACTATGCCGGTTCGATTTTAATCATTATGATTAATGCAGAACCAATTGCCTTGAAAAGGGTGTAAATGGTTAGTGATTGAGTCATAACTTCGGTAAATTAACTAGGTATGATGCATCCCATTCTATTTTAGAATAGTGTGGTGTTAAAGTCATATTTCATTTTATTTGTTAACTTTTTACATATAAGTTTAAAGACATTAGTTTAAATTCCAAAATATCATGAGTAAATGAGTTGATTTTCAATTATTTTGTTATTTATTTTTTGTTATTTATTTTAATATGTATTTTTGTTATTTTCTAAAGAGTTAAAAAAGAAAACAGTAAAAATAAACTTTTAATGTAAATTTTAATAATTACAAAATCATCTTAAAAAACTGAATCAAAAGATTAAGAGAAATGGGATGTGGATCATCTGCCCCTGAACCAGCACCAGTACAACAACGACCTCAACCAAGAAAAGTTGATCCTGCAGTTGAAGAACGTAGAAGAAAAGAAAAAGCAGAAGAAGCTAAATGGGTGGAAATTGCTAAAAAGCAAGGACCTCCTGAGCCAAAAATTCCACAATTACCACCTAATCCTACAGAACAACAATACAAACAATTTATGATTGATAGATTTGAACATGAAGGATGGGAAAATCAAATTATCTTATTAGCAAGAAAATTAAGAGCTGAAAATCAAGCACATTAAATGGTTATGTATAATGCTAATTTAGCTTTTTTATTATTATATTTGTTTTATAATAATATGTATTTTCAATTTCATCAATTTCTTATATTCTTAATTATCATTTATTTACTTTGTAAATATCTTCTTTTCTTAAAAAAAAAAAACTTTTCTTTGAAAAATACTAACTTAAATTATTCCATAAATTATCATGCTACCTTTAAATAATATCCATTGTATTATTAATCAAATTAATAATCTCCAATGTCTGATTAATCTTTGTTTTGTTTCAAAGAGATTTCGTCTCAATATCACTTCAAGAAAGGAAAATATTGTTTCTATTTCTGATTCAAATCTTTTTTCAAATCTCAATTCTTTACGATTATTATCTCCTAATGACAAACTAATCAATGGTATTGATACAATAATTGTAGATTATCCAATCACTTATGCTCAATTTAAATTAATGTGGAAAAATAATATGTCATTTCGTCATGTCATATTAAAACATCATGACATCAACTCAATTCAAACCTCTCAACCAATTATCAATTTTGTTGTTCCAAATATTATTAAAAGTATCCATGAACGTTGTTTTGTTGGATATACTCAATTGTCTTCAATTACTCTTTCTTCACCAGTACATAAATTAGGTATGTATGCTTTTGACAATTGTTCTTCACTTCAGAAAATTAATCTTCCATCATCACTCATCGAAATAGGTGGTCATGCCTTTAAAGGAATTCATCCAAATGCTCAATTCACTTTTAATGGGGATGTATGTTATGCTAACATTCCTTTATTTGTTTCAAAACAATTGATAAAACAAGGAGTTCAATGTCCAAATATTCAATTTACTCAAGAAGATTTTATGGGTAGTGATCAATTAAATATAACAATTCCTTCATGTTGTAAGTCTATAGGCAGTGATTGTTTTTGTCGTTGTTTTAATTTAACTTACATAGATCTTCCATGTTCAATAACATCATTAGAAACAAATTGTTTTAGAGAATGTTCTTCAATTTCAACTCTCTCAATCCCATCTTCATTAATTTCAATAGGAAATGGTTGTTTCTTTAATTGTGTCTCTTTAACTTCCTTGTCGTTTCCTGATAATTTGGTTTGGCTTGGCATTGATTGTTTACGTGGATGTTCTTCTTTGGTATCTCTCCATCTTCCATCTTCTTTATCTTCATTAGGAAGAAGTTGTTTAGAAAAGTGTTCTTCATTAACAACATTAACTCTACCTAGTTCTCTCCGTTTTTTAAGTAGAAGTTGTTTAGAAAAATGTACTTCCTTGAAACATCTTTCTTTACCAACAACAATGACATCTATTGGAGATGGTTGTTTTTATAATTGTTTATCAATGACATCCATTACTATTCCTTCTTCTGTACAAGTTTTTGAGAGGTTTTGTTTTGGTAATTGTTCACAACTTTCAGGGATGGTAAATATTCCTAAAGAGTGTTTTAAACAACGACCAATAAAGTGTTAATTTACTATTATTTTTAATAAGAATTACTATTAAAATAACATTAAAAGGTTTTGAGTCTAAACAAGAAATGAACTAAGAATACTTTAAATCTCTGAACAGTCAGTGTACTATGACATTAATTTTAATTCTTTTTATTTTACAAATGTCTAATGCTTTGTATAATCTTAATTATACTAATTTTGAAGAAGCATTAAAACAAAATCAATATATTTTTGTTAAATTTACAATCACTAAGAATTGTCCATTTTGTGATGATTATACTCGTGAATTTAATCAATTATCTATGTTTATGGATATTCCATTTGGTTCAGTTATTTGTGAAGATAAAGATATTGAGTTATGTGAAAAACAAAATATCACTGTTTTACCAACTTCAATCTTATACAAAGACGGTAAACAATATCGGTCATTATATGGAATGTATGAATATGGTAATATTAAACAATGGGTTAAAAATATGTTAGAACCAACATATATTGAAGTTAAAAATGAAGAAGAAATTAAGTCATATAGAACCAATAATATGGTTCTTATTACTTCATATTTCCCAAGTAGAAATGATGAACAAGAGTATCATTCTATGTTACAATATATTTCTAATGATGTTAAAAGATTTAAACAACAATTTATATATATTATAAGTGATAAATATAAAAAACCAACTATAGTAATTAATTCAATTACTTCTGAAGAAGATGAATATTCATTAGAATTTGAATTAGAAAGAAATCAAACAATATTGGAATATAAATTATTATTAGGATTTATTCCACCATTTTCTTCATTAAATACTATTCAAAATCTATTAGAACAAATAGAAACACCAATATTACATTATATTTATGATACTAAAATGTTAAAATCAACTCTTATGAAAGAAATAGCTAAAAAATACCAATTAAAACTTCCTTTTGTTACTGAAAGAGCACACGAATCAAAAGTATTAGCTGGACATAGTCAACAAATATATCCATGTATTTCAATTAGTTTTGGATTACAAGTATATTCAATGAATGAAAGTACTGAAATTACAAAAGAAAGTGTTGAAAGTTTTATTGAAAATTTCTTTTCAGGAAAACTTCAACCAGCAAAGAAACATAGAACATCTAATCCACAACTTCTTTCACATCAACCACCAATTATTACTTCTGATATTTATGATGAATATACAAAAGAAGATGCTGCTATTGTTATATGTCCATTTTCATTTATTAAATGTCAAGAATATATTCACTCTGTAATGAAAGGAATATATCAAGCATTTGAAAATACTCCAATCAAATTTGGTGTAATAGACATAGAAGAAGATGACATTATTCCAGAAGAACAAATTGTTTCATATCCAACTATTGTACTTGCTACTAAAGATGTTAATAAAACCCATATCATTTTTAAACCTATAACTAGTTTTGATCCAATAGAAGTTGTTAATGAAATTAATCTTCATTGCCAATTTAAATTAATTTTAAATAATAACGAAGTAGTTCAATTAAGAAAAAGTGTAGAACAAATAGTCGCTGTTATTAGAGCAAATGAAATTGTTGAGAGTGAAAATAAAAATACACAAAATCAAGAAAGTAATCAACAAAATGATTTAACAAATAAAGAAAAGAACAAAGAAGAGTTATAATGAATTAATTTCATTTTATTTTATATTTTAAATCATTTGTTTTTGTTATTTTGTTCATTTAAACAATTAAA